ACAAACTAAACAAGGAGCCCCTCATTCCCACCTCTCCCCCATCCCTCGCTCTCTTCTCCCTTTTTCCTGGTAGGAATTTTTATGAGGAAAGAAGAGATGTAGTGGTGCAAGACTACACTAGCGCAAAGAGGTAAATACTACAACATCAATCCTTTGCAGTGACCCCAAACTAAAAAAAAAATTCAAACATTATTTTAAGGGCTTTTACACAAGTTCCTCTAACTGCAGTCGTAAGACTACAAATCCTACCCCTGTAACTGTAGACACAATGAGAACAAAGGATCCTTCTTGGATGTATGTTGTTCAGTGATCTTCCCTTAAGATTTGTTACTATACAGAGGATCCAAAAGCTTTTGCAAGGATGTTCCGGTTGCCACAATTAAGATGAAAAATGCTGACATAAGCAAAGACACTCTGAGAGACATTTACCACAAACAATTCATACAAACAAATTCAAAGCAGAATAAATCCTTCATTTTGGTATACTTAAGCAGCATTTAAAGTGTATAACATAACGAACACACATAAATCCCCACAGTATGTCAACACACATTATTTGCATCATGTCGATTTTTGCCAGATTTTGAAGATTCACAGATCTTAAATTTGTCTCAAATGTCGTCACCCCAGAGGCAGAAGCAATGGCAGCAGAAATAGCTAATACAGTATAAGTATGCAATGATGCCACCAGGAGGGTTGCACACCTCAGGCTTGAGTTAATACCACTTGTGTGTGATGTGACCAGAGCGTGCTGGTGAGAGTAAACCACCAGCATCCATCAGGAGCTGCTCGTGCTGACCACCAGTAACACTTAACAGCTGTTAAAGTGAGATCCTGACCTGAACCAATGCAGACATTTCAAATGGGAGGGAGGGTGGAGGGTGTGCTCTGACACTGCTACTGGTGCTTACTTTATGATCAGCAGGTCAAACTCAAAATGTGCCTAAAATACCAAAGACACACTGTTTTAATTTGAAGGGTCCAACCTTATAGTCATGTCAAATTTGCTTCAGTCAACACGTGGAGTTTTTAGGATACAAATTTCAGCCCTCTTGAGAGTCGTGCATGGGAGTTAATGTTTACAGAAGCAGTGAAAGGGCACCATGTAACAAATGCATACGGATCGCATATGTGTGTGGCCGGCAGCAACATTAATTTTTAATTTATAAAAAATGAGGCAAATACACTTGACAGTCTTCCTTTTTAATTATTAAAAAACACCTACACATGACTACCTGAAAAACTACCAACATATAAAATAATAATGAATAAATACTTGCTGAAATCCTCATGTTTGTGTCACAAATGGTCTCTATAGAAAAGGCCCCTTCTTGATGATGCTTAGAAAATAAGCAGTAGATGGAGGAGTAGCAGGAATGCTACCGCCCTCATGTGGTGAATTAAATTATTGTTGGCTCTTACATTTAATGTTGGATACTGAACACAAAGATGTAAACTGGACTGAATTGATCTATCATTTAACATTTAATGTTGTTTTAGACATTTGGAGGTTTACTTTATGATAACACTTCAAACGATCAGTTGTAAGAAAAAAAATTATCAGGGTTTGTCTTTTTTAAACCTGAGTGAGCAGATACTATATATAAGGGTATAAATGCAAGCTAATAAATAAGAGCCAAAGAGAAGACAACAATAAATGGTATTGTAGGTTTTTGAATAGCTCAAATGTATCTGTAGTTTTCTGAGATGCTGTACAGGTTTTTATGATTCAGTTTGGTTACCATTCACTTAACACCACTGGTTACTGTTTTGTGACCATTCTTGATTGCCTGCGGCGTATATGGCACAAGAAACAGAGCTGCAAATTTCTCCTTTTATTTGAGGTGACTGTAATTAGCTCCAGTATATGGCAATAAGGCAGGGAAACTAAAAGAAGTCAGCTGGCCATAGTTCACCTTGAGCTTAACAGGTATTCATATATTCCCAAAGTCTAAACGTGTGTTCCTTAATAAGCCTGTTAGGAAAATTGTAATCACATGGTCTATTGTGTGTAGACTGTTTGGAAGGCTTGAGTTAGTTTTACAAAGTTTTATCTTCACTTTAAAAAAAAGGGGTAAAAAAATGTGTCCAATAACTTAATATTAGCCATTGCTATATTATGCTAATTTTCAGGTTTTTACTTGTATTTGGAAGGTCAACTATAATCATTTTTTCATGTTATAATGTAAAACATTTTTTTCTGTATTTTCATCCTCTGTCTGCTCTGATTGGTCAGCTCCCACAAACCTGAGCAACCCGCCCACCGTGTTTCTGTCTGCTCCACTGTTTGTTTGTAGCTATGAGCAAGTTACACAACGATTTTTTTTTTCATTCAACGCAAATTAATTCCTACAGATTGTCAGTTTGTTTTTCACACGTAGCTTAGTGTTACCTTCAGGGTATCTATTCAGTGGATTTGCATACACACACACACACACACACACACACACACACACACACACACATAACCCTCGAGAATAACAACAAAAACTAACACTAGCCAAGGTAATGCTAGAGCTGCAGTATAAAGTTACACAAAAAAGCAACATGATAAAACAGTTACCGGCATCCAAGCTACAATGCTTCATATTTAGCTAGTTGGCTAAATGAGGCCTAGTGTTCACACAGTTGCTCTTTATAGTCCCTCAATATTACAGTATTATTCCCAACATCACTCCCGGGCTGTTAGCCATATGCTATGGACTAACCTAGAAAATAAACAGCGAAACAACATAAACAGGGAAAACTTACACCTTCGAAGTTTGAAGTAACAGGCAGTGGTTTGATCCTAGAGCTTGAACTGTTCATTTAATGTGAAAAATAAGAGACACCTTGGCACCACAATAAGCCCTTCAAGCTGCTATTTCTTCACTCATTAGTTCTGAGTAGCTTGAAGCTTTTAACCTTGTTCTGCTGTGTTTGTAGAGGATTCAGAATTTACCCAGAATGCACAGCAACACGTCCTTTTTGAGATAGGCATCTTTTTGCAACTGCCTATCTGAAGATTTACTGTTATAGCTAAGTCAGACTCAATGTGTGCCTTTCAGAAAATAACCCCAGAGGAAACTGAATAAAATTCAAGATGGATGGAAACCCCCGTACAGAGCGATGAGTGAAAACTAGTTCCAACAGAACAGTTCGAGGGAGGTGTGGAGAGAAAGACGGCAAACATCTCTGCCGACAGGACACACGATGGAGGGCAACCAGGAAAAGAGTGAAGGAGTAACACCTGTTTTGCTTGACTGGTACACTTCAGTCCAGATATGTCCCCCCCCAGCTCAGCGGGACGGCCTAATTGTGGTCTCCACTCTCACTAATTCACTGTTACATTCCTGCTTCTTTACACACCTCAAACTGTGAGAGGTTTGTGCTGAGATCATGTACCATACAGCTAACTCAGATAACCCCAGTACATCTTCAGTTCAATCTTCTGCCTGATGATGGTGTACTTTGCCACTAAATGGAGCCATTTTGCATAATTACTCACTTTTAATATTGTACACTTTCCTGCTAATGTTTTTATACTTTATACTTATAGGTGTTGTAGTATGTACCATTTAGTGATATCTATTGGCAGAAATGGGATATAATATTCCATCTATAATATCTAAAGAGGGAGCAGGTTTTACCGCCATGTTTCTACAGTATCCAAGAACTTGGATGTCCTAAAATGTACTGGGGTCAGGTTTGGTCACTTGCATTCTATCAGCTCTTTCACTGGTAATCTTGACAGTCTGTCTAATAATATTATTATAATATTATTGCCTCTGTTTTGTCAGAAATATTGTTAAATCATCTTTTTTTCAGCTCAAGATAATCTCGAAAATTAGGTCTTTTTTTTATCAGTTGCTGATCTTCAAAAAGTGGAGCATGCTTTTATCGACTCTCGGCTTGATTATATAACACTTAACGCTGGTATCACGTCAAATCAGACTGATTTGGTATCACATCACCCCTGTACTTCCTGTTAGATTTCATATTGATTTCTCACCTTAAAGGCCTCCAACAGACTTTCTCCCAAATACATTTCTACATTATTGACTTTTCCTCTTGACTAGTGAGATCTGCAAATGGAGCCCTGCTTGTTATTCCCAGGTCACAGAGGTTGTGACAAAGGGTGACCAAGCGTTTTCCTATTAGATCCCCTACACAGTGCAACAATCTGCCAACTAAACTCAGACACACTATGTCCCTTGCTTCGATCTCTTTTTAAAACTTTTCTCTTTGTAAAAGCTTTTGGAAATGGTTGATGTTGATTTTACCTCCATTGCTGCACATGTCCTTTGGTCCTATTCTCATTTTATCTTATGATGGTTTTTATTTCTTGTAAAGCACTTTGTAACATTGTTACAAAAGCTGCTATATAAATAAAGTGTATTATTATTCTATGTTGTTCATACTCATTGTGGATTTTCTTGTTGGAAAATAGATCAATACGCTAATGCATTCGAGGTGAAATTGAGTTCATTTTCACAATAACACCAAGAGCCATTATGAGGTCCCTAAGCACATTTTATTATGCTTTGGCTCATCAATAAATGAAACATCCATCTTTTATGTTTCAATACTTCAAATGTTCATAAAGTATAGCAGAGATGAATGATTTGTTATTGAGAGACCAATCACCAGTGCCATAAGGCGGTGGCAGAAAATGTATAACTGTCTATGCTGACAAATATCATGCTTGCAGTTTTCTAGAAAATTGATTTTATTATGGAGACTGAAAAAAAGAGCTGTTGGAGCTGTTTTTCCCCCCACAAAAGTTCAAAAAGGCTTTTGTTTCTCTGAAAATAATGAATAAAAAATGAAGTTGTTCTCAGATGAACAGGCTGGATAAGCCTCCATGTACCATATGTTTTATATATATGTATTTCCATTGTGATTATTTACAGAACCCTACACATGGGGTTAATTCTGTTTATTTATGATTTATTTATTTATTTATATGATTTGAAATTATGCAAGAAAAAGCAAAAAACAAACCAAAAAACACAAGGACAGTCATTTAGAATGCCATTTATGTCATTGACTTTTCAAGAATCTAATACAAATGCATACACATACATTTCACCACCTAAAACCACATACACATACCACTACTGCAATAAACATCACCATACAAATAGAAAAAGAATCAGAGGTTGGCTTTCGAGCTTGGGGGAGAGGGGTCATGAAGAGCTCACATGGTCACAAACTAGTTCATACACATTCAAAAAGAGCATCAAGTATGTACACACACACACACGCACGCACGCACGCACGCACGCACGCACACCCACACACAGACACAGACACACAGAGCTTATATAATACAGCGTTAGAGAAGAGTGGCTGTAAAAAAGTCATATGGTGGGAAGGAGTGTGTTACAGTTTACAGTATGAAAGGGAAGAGGGTAACAGCCAAAGTGTACATGAAACACTTTCTTTTTTTTCTTCTTTTTTCTTCTTTTTCTTTTTTTCTTTTTTTTACAGTTAAGCCAACTTTACTTAATATAAATATTCTTCATCCAAAAGTCAGTGCAGTGCCTTCTGCTCAGGCTTCACCTGGTCCTCATGCCTGGTCCACTTTACACCCAGTCTGTGCTAGACCTGGTCCAAAAAACAACTGTTTCCACTTTACACACAAATCTTTTACATCGGTTTTGTCTCTGATCTCCCATTTTTTCTATGGTTTATATGTGTGTGTGTGTGTGTGTGTGTGTGTGTGTGTGTGTGTGTGTGTGTGTGTGTGTTTATGTTTGTTTTTTTGCCACCCAGTACCTCAAAAGTCCAGCTGTGAAGTACAAGAGTTTGAGAGTTTGTTTTTCTACCAATTAGCCAATAGAAAAAGAGATCAACAAATTTACAAGTGTCCATTTTGTTCTTTTCTCCTGAATTCCCTTTTTAGAAAAAGAAGTTCAGATGGAGCAGCTCTACTGGATTCCCCTGAAGAGACACATTGCAAAGACCATGGCAAAGAGCTGAGGAAACAAAGGAAGAGGAAATTAGTAACACATATAAAAAAAAACTTGCTTTATAAAATTATGACAAACATGAATCTAGAACAGCAGTGTACAACCTTCATTTATTTAGTTTTTGTTTGTTTTTTACAATTAGTTACATGCATTTCTCAATTTTGGGTTCCCAAAATTCTTAACACAGCAGCAGTCAGTGTGGACTAAACTAGATTATGCATCACTAAAATGCATTAAATAATCACATTCTTCATTGTTTTTTCACTTAGACTCAAACACCACCAAAACACTTTGTATTGAAAGCCAATTTTGCACAGGTTAAATAGAAAACTAATTACTGTAAATTAGACTGCAATTTGCTGTATTCTGCCAAATCTACATCAACAAGAATCCTAATAAATATATAAATAAATAGAAAAATGAAAAGCATAAACCACTAACTGGGCCATACAATACTGAAAGCCTCATTATAATAAAGGTAATCCAGGAATAAAGACTGTCAGGTGAGGAAAGTGGGCAAGAGAGCAAATAAGTAGGAAATATGGATGAGAACCTATGACCAAATGCAGAAGATGGCTGACAAGCACTGCTTTATAACTTAACTTAAAAGTATTGATAATGATACATGTATTATACAGTATATTGTTTTGTATTGCATTACTGGAATTACCTCGGAAACATTAGTTTCTGTAACACATACAGTACTGCACAAATCATGCAGTAAAGAGGTGCCATTCATTTAATTACAATAAAATTTTGGTTTATGCAGAATTGTAAAAACTTAAAATAAATAAAAGCTACTTCATAGACAACAGTGATAAATATTGTAATGTTATTGGTTGTTACTGTCTTTTAGCCATTGTATCTGTTGTGCTGAACATCTGATTGAAAGTGACCTTTTGAAAAAGTGAATTCAGTACAGAAATGCGTGTAACCAATCTATGTTCCTGTAGCACCAAGTCTCACCACTAGATGGAGATCTTGCCATACAGAGAGCTTCAAATAACACCACACATTCAGGCTTAATGCAGAATTCCCCATTTCTGAAATGAATATTCAGACCACTGGAGAGACAAAGGAAATGCTGCATATGTGATCATTTCACTAAAATGAAAACCATTCTTACCTCAATGGTCAGCACCACAATGGCCAGTGCTCCAGCCACATAGATGTACAGTTCAAAGTAGTCAACTACTGCAGAGTAACAGCCCTGCGGAAACACAAAGACGTGATGCTCAGCAGAGAATCAATAGCCTATAAACTTGCAGATTTACAAAGACAATTAAAGTAACATCACAGCTTTAATTGAGTGAGGCTTTGAACAAAGGCCTGGCTGAATGAGTGGGAAGCTGGGCCTCCAGCCTCACTGCCTTTTAATGAGGGCTCTTTGTGTGAATGAACAGAGAGACACACAATGTGGACACCTTGCACTGTTCTAGTGGCTTGAAAAACAACAGGTGGAGAGTGCAGTAAAAACCTCTTCCTATCAGCTTTCACTGTAATTACATTTCACTTCAAGGCTTTCTTTACACTCCGAAGCAGGGATGTGGGTGTGCATGTGCGTAACTGTGAAGCGCACCTCCCCTACACACATTCATATACTTATTATCCTCTATTTTTGCACACATGTATGCTCCACAAAAAATCCAATTTACCATTGTATGCACACACAGGCAAACACACACACACAACACACACACACACACACACACACACATAAGCTCAGATGCATACATACACTGGGGTCTCCACACTATAACACATAGTAAGATGGCACCCAAAATATGGAAAAGCCCTAATCAGCCATGGAGAAGACCCTGCATGTCACCCCTCAACTGTCTCCTGCTCTAATTAAGGCTTGAGGTGGATGGAAGGAGGGAGAAAGAGAGAAGGAGAGAGAGGATGTCATAGTAGATGTCAGAAGTTACCTTGTTATTGCGGAACATCATATTGCCTGATAAGCACTGCTCCTGGCTGATATAGGCCAACTCCCCGGTCTGACTGGCACGCTGGCAGCAGGCTTCTGGCACCATATGATTTTGGTTGATCAGCCTGAACAGGCTGTCCTTAAAATCCTCTGGGCTGTTCACCCCACAGCAGTCAAACTGATGGGAGGAAAGGAGAGAATAAGAGAAGAGGCCTTTATTGCTGAGTGCCTATTTGTGCACTGGCCTGTGGTCCACTGTGTGTGTGCACCAATCCAGCATGAATATTGACCTAAATGTCTAGGATTTTATCTATAAAATATAGCCCCTGACGCCAGGCTGCAAACCTTCCTGTTTCCACAGACAGTTGCTGGAAGCAGTGAGTTGGTAACAGCTATAGTATATAAGCTCTTTGCCATGTGTGTTGTGGCCTTACTGTAGTCATGATGGCATTCCATGTGGAAGTGAAGACGTCAGTGTTGTTGTAGCCCTGATAATGCCTCTTCAGCTCCTTGGTGAAGTACTCTCTGGTCAGCTAAAACAGCCAGCAAAAGAGCACAGGTTAGTGTCACCACAGGGTTATTATCTGTTTCTTTCACATCAGAGAAGATCGCTGGACACAAGGGCGGGGTATCTTTTTAACAGGGAACTGCATCAATTTCACACATCAAAGTCTGTTTACAGGTTTGTGGAGTACAACGGCAAATGTGAAAAAAGTTGTATAAAGCCTTTTTGTGGCCCCAGAGGTAACTGCGTGAAGTCTGATAAATGTTACTTAACTTTGAAAAAGTCAGTTGGTGCTGAAAAAGTTTGAAAATAAAAAAATTCTGAGGTTGTGGAGTTTTTACCAGACCAGTGTAGCTCACTCCTCATTTCTGCTTAAGGCTAAAGGCTACGGAGCTACACTAGCTGCTATTAGCATAGTAGGCCAAATATTTGACCGAACTGCCAGCAGACAGAGTTACACTGGGTAACAAGGAGGAAGAATGTGTGGAATAAAAAAGGCGATATCTCTGGCTCTGCTGCATTGATTTTGATCTTTTTTAAATTTATTTTATTGTTCACCGTGAGTCTGACAAGATTGGGAGTGCTCTTACACCTAAATAATGGGATAACAAAATTGTTATTTACATCATAAACATAAAAATAAATATTACTTTGATACTATGCTATGAACACATTTTGGTATTGAAATTTGACACCCAGCCCTACTACTGCAGCAACTTACGTGCTCCCGGAATATGAAGGCCAGGATGGCAGCAGCCAGCTCTGCTAAGAAGATGAGGAGGATGAGCATAAAGAACTGCAATGAGACAAAACAAAAAGGCAAAGAGTGAGAGAGAGTAGAATAAGGTGGAAGAGTGTCAGAAAAAGTGCACGTCAGTCACTGAAAATCACATTCTGGCTGTGCCCGCTTCACTCAGCATTAACTATGCATGAGGCTCGAGGCACGAAGGCAAATAGAAGGGCATTTTGCTCTTTTGGCTTTCTTTTTCAAGCTTGACAGTCCAAAAACTGACAGACAGAATAATCGACACATATGTGCACAAACAAGATCACTAACAGAACTACATTTTAGATTTGTCAGCTGACTCACAAAGAGGAGCAGACACTTGTTTTCGCGGATGGCTCCACAGCAGCCCAGGAAGCCCAGAAGGAAGAGCATGCCTCCCATGCCCAGGATGATGTATACACCGGTAAATAGCAGGGGGTTGGCTGCTACAATTTCCCTGAACCCAGTGGGGTCCACCAGTACCCACACTCCCACTCCCAGGAGGAAAGAGCCTCCTAGCTGATGGAGAAAAAGGAAAGAAGACACTAGTTAGACAAAACAGAAATTGGCTGCATTTTAAAAATTAATGTGAAATCAGAGGATAGCTCCATATCCCCAGCGGCACACAAAACATTCAACAAGATGTCATATAATGGAAAATAAATGTGAGCTTTTTTTTCCCCAGGAAAACATGCTGGTAATGAAAATCTCTGAAAAGTTGGGGTGAGAGTTGAGGGCAGATAAACGACTGGATATCTACAGAGCCATAATGCCTTAGTGGGGGGGTGGGTGGGTGGGTGGGTGTTGATATCTGCTTCAACTAACCCCCCAACCTGCTATAGAAATGCACAGCACTGCAGCCTCCATCCTCTCCCATCCTCCCTTTCACTAAAACCCTATCTGAAGCCACGTTGGGGTGACTCATGTGATTAAGGAAAGAAGGAATTGAGGTAGTGGGGGGAAGAGATCTGAGCCTTATACACATCTGCCACAATCCCCTTCTTCCTGTCATAAGGAGAGACCTCGGCTTCTGCAAATGAACGCCACTTCATCACGGAAGCTGAGGTGGTGGTATGAGGAGAGGGGGTAGCCATTTCGAGAGCTCATTGGGCTTGAAAAATGCCGTTGTGTTGTAGAGTGTGACACGGCCATGGAAAGAAACAAAGGGATGGCGGCATAAAACAGTAGTTGTTATTGAGTGATGCTAAAATCCAAGTTCATTCTTTGCTCTGCTGGTTGCATTATTACCGCAGCCTTGAACAACCACGTCTGAGTGGAGTCTATAAACGGTTTGGTTGCGCTTAATAAAGCAGGAAAAGAGACAAACCTTCTTACACTGACCCTCCCCCCCTTTACAGGCTCAGACTAACAGGATTACCTTTGATTGTCTGATCAAGACTGATAAACTCAGGTGCCAGTCACAAAGTCTTCATGGCACAGTGTGCCTCAGATGTGTGTCAGCACACTAAAATCTAATCAAAAGAGAATTTGATAGAATCAAGATTGCCTCCATCTAATGAAATGCAAATGTGGCTCCATTAGTCAGTCGGGCAGGGGGCAGCCAGAAGCCCATCTTGAATCATTAGATTGACACTAACTTCAGAGACAGTCAGATTAAGTGTATTTGAGAAAGAGATAAAAGATACTTACAAAGATGAGGAAATTGAAGACAAACATGAGGTACTTGATGCAGCTGAGACAGTCCCCCTCCATGGTTGTCCCTCGCGCTGAAGCCTCTCCCTGCCCCTGAGAGAAAACAACATAAAACACAACATTGAAAAAGGTGCCACTTCACAAATCCTGCCAAATGCTCACAGTATTCCCATTCTCCTGCATTTTGGATCGGCAGTCAGACAAAGCTGCCAAGAAAAGAATACTCTGCAAAAACCTGCTCACATTTTTAATGAGTTCTGCCACTCAAACATACAATAAACACACACACACACACACACACACACACACACACACACACACACACACACACACACACACACACACACACACACACACACACACACACACACACACACACACACACACACACACACACACACACACACACACACAGGCCTGTCAGTTCATTTGGTCCAATTTCAGCTGAAAATCCTTGTATTATTCCCTCAGGCTGTACCATCCATAGTTTCTCAGCAATCCCTAAGTAACTACAAGTTTGGGCTACATAGTGTCAACCCAAGCTGACACAACTCATCTCACCACACTCCCTGACAACTTATGTAATTTTAAAACGCTCTTTCACAGTCAGATGGCCTGATTCCCTATCAGCACTTCCTATCTCTGGACAGATGGGTTCCCTGGGTTCAGTGTGACTCAAGGGGTTGTCTATCTCTTGCATTTTAAGGATAGGAGTCCCGGTTGGGGCTCCATGCGCATTAACTGACAACGTATGGCCTTTACTGTAGAGGTTCTCCTTCTTAATGTAATGAGAGGCTGGAGCCCTGTGCTCACATCAGCCAACCTTCTATCTGACATAAACACACTTTCCCTGATGAGGGCCCCTCCTGGAAGCACTCCTGATTAATGAAGAATGCCTCTCCTGCATTAGGAGACAACATGGGTGTCTCAGTGTCCGTGACCCCGTATACCTACATATACCTGATGCAGCACAAAGCCTTTCCTTGAAGCATTTTTGTAACCTGCGAATCTGCAAATGAACAAGACTTCCCCTCAGGGAGTGTTGGGATTGTTTAAGGAATCATCTCTACATATGCTGCAAAAACTGAAATGGAAACAATCAGTGGGGCAGCTATAATTGCAGTCTCAGTCAAAGAAGAAAATTAATTATTTGGCAGAAACGAACCAAAACTCTTTGCTTTGTAGTTGTGATTATTAATTTGCTCTCCCATAGTGATAGCCAGGATTGAGTCTGGGTAACAAGCGGATTAAAAAGCGTTTTCTCTGAGGAATTGTAAATAGGTTTACACAACTAGGCAGCTACACATTGTCACTAACTGAAAATAAAAAAGAAGTTAAAATGTGTTCTTTTCACTTTCTTTGCCTGTACTTTGCAGCACGTCTGTCAGATGTAATCTCATAATCTACACACAGTCTTTTCCGATGCCTGATGTGCAGTCAAGACTCCTCTGGGTGATCTCTCTGCTTCTCTGAGGCAGCGGTGAAGCTTGGGTTTATGATCAACACCGGCTTTGATTCCTGTCCGTCTTTGAAGGGGTTTTGCTGTCCCTCAAATGTGATTCAGCCTTGACCCTTTCACCCCTTTGACTAGGAAATTCACATTTTCAGGTGAAATAAACCATAATCTCCCCCCAAACCACACTCTCAAACAAGAACTGCTCAACTGGTTGCTGCAATTATTCAACACAGAAGTGTGACAATGTGTGCAAATATGAAAGTCATAACCCATATCGTTTTCTAGTCTGTTTTTCTTCTATTGTTTTGTGCTTGTACTTGTCTCCCTTTCCCTCTGCTTCCACTTTCTAAACTGTGAGCTCCAGAGAGATTTTTTTGTCTCATTGTAGGCTTGTGTAAGTTGACGTGAAAAAGAAATTGAACAATACTAAAGATGTGAAGGCAGTCTTTGTCTGCTGTGAGTGCAAGTTAACATAGAATGAGAACATTTCCTCCCTTCACCAGCCTGAAGGCTTATTATTTTTCCTCTCCTTTCCTCCCCAGACCCTAGGAAATTGATTTAGAGCTATGGTTAAACAGCTCCTCTAAATCATAATGATATGCTTAGGTATTGATCACCCTCCTAGTGGTACTCTGAGAGCAACCAACAGCCTCATTGCCTGAGATAGGTTTTAATTAACCCCTCCCTTTCCTAAGACCCACTGGAAGGCCTAATGAGGGCACAGGAGGTCTTAATTGAGATTTGCATACATTACAGTCTCTCTGAAAAAAAAAAAAGCATTAGAAAGGCCTGTTCTCATCCCTCCCGCTCTCCACTGTTAGTCCTGGGCCCCTATAAAGAGTGCAAACTTTATTTATTGGAGCAGGGGATGAAGAGGCGGAAAGAGGAGGGGGAGGAAGGGGTCGGCTGGAAAAACTCTCAGGGCTCAGCTCACATCTCATTCTCCAAACAAAATGTCTGATTTCTCTTCCAGCTTCACCCTTTTGCTCTTCGCTTCCATCTCAGGGTCAAACCAACTGTCAGATCTGAAGCCAATTTTCTTTTCTGCATTAAAATGCATTGGATGCTTAAGAATGAAGAGGGCTATACGGGCCGAGCCAGGCTCCAAATAACAAGCCTATGGTGCAAACCAGCATAGTATAAATCAAATTGCCACAGAGACCCAGAGAAAGTGCAGAGTAAACAAACTGGTCTTTCCCATGACTCCCATGGGATTGCAGGACCTCATCGATCACAGCCTAGCCATAGAGATCAGACCACTAAGTCTCTCTGAATATTCTGCAGAGTACATTATGTAGACAAGGGAAACATGGTTCACACCCCAGGAGCTGCAGCCTTACAACAACATTGACAAATTACTGCTAGATTAGAGCCAGATCTTCTTCAGGTGTGCTGTTTTGTTAAGCTAGCATTGCGTTGTTGCGTGGCATTGTGTTTGTATGCACTAGCAAAAAAGAAACAGCCATTATTAACAAACATGGCACACACGCAGTAAGGAATACTCCACTGAATGAGTTGCAGACAATGTGTTTGTGAGCTTGAAATACTGTATGTATGTCCTCAATCTGACAATCTGAGTGGCAGTCTTTGCCCAGAGGTATCCAGTAAATGCCAACTGCACGTCTGCAGCATCTCCCGTTACTGACATCATGAAATGCCACACGGCATTAAGATCCTATTGTTCACTCTTGGCAAAGACTACAGCTAGTTTGGGCTGTGGAGCCCAGCATGGTTGAGTTTGATAGTGGATTAATGAGAACTGATCCTAAATCAACTTCACAGTACCGACAGAAGCCAGAGCTCTGTAATGAGGGCAAACCAATGTGACCTAAATTCTTCTCAGTATGAGGATGAGGAATTGTGAAACATTGCTACAGGCATTTTTTTTCACTCAAAAAAACAGGTCTGTTTGACCAGCATCTACACAATCAACCATGATGGTCATGTCAACTCACTGTAATTAAAAGATAAGGAAGACATCTTCCCGCATTGATAGTGCTCCACATATAAATAGCACACCCTTGGGTGGTTCTCCTTGAAGATGACACTTTCGGAACAATTAATGAAGTGAGTCCATATTCCCCTGCTCCACTGGCCACCGCCCCGGACAAATAGATCAGCATGACAAGGACACTGTGTCTGCTCATCGCCAAACTGTCGCCACCCACCACCCGCCTTGATAACCAGCCAGTTCACTTCATCTTGAGCATGAACCTGCATATCAAATGATCATTAATACTGAAACCCTGTTGAGATTATAAGGGTCGGAGCTTGACCCCTTTAAATGTCATTGACCCTCTAAATGATCACCTGTAGTTGAACCCTGGGGACGGCACATTTCGTCCTCTGGCTCCCTGACGCAGCTGGAGCAGGTGTGTTTTTCCATCTACTGCATGCCACTTTAAAGCTCTCTCCGGAGTGCTCTAATACCCTCTGATAATGACACTAAGGGACCACACACATGCCACATCAGCCTTTATCTCAATTAAAAACCCATTTTCATATTTCTCCATGACTTCCTAAATCAGCCACAGCAAGTAAACACCCCAAAATCCGAATAAAGACAGGCTCCTCTGGCAGTGAGCAGAGCTCCCCTGAGGCGCACCATGTCCCTTAATGAACCTCCAATTAGGAGAGAATGAGCCCTGGGCTGTGCTGTCACACTGAGGAGCTTTGAAGTGTACTGAATGCTAAGCAGCTATAGCACTGTATGTTGCTTTAGAGGGCATACAGCTTGCAGACAACAGGGAACAACCACAGAGAGAAAGTGTACTAAAGTAGCTCAAAGGCAACCCAGCACACAGTGTGTGTGGGTGTAGCAGACAGAGAGCAGAGAGCGTAGAAACTCAGCCGGGTTAGGCAGTTCAAGAAACTGCTAGGCTTGCAGCAAAGGTCCTAATGTTGGTTAGATGCTCAGGTGGAAATATACAAATACTCTACCCGCAGGCAAGCTTAGCTAATGAGTTTCAGTCCCAGTACATATGTAGGTTTGGTGAACATTATCAGCTTCTGCACGTTACAGGCATTGCTAGTTCACCACAAAAAAAGTGGGGAGTCTCTGATGACTTTGCTCTGCCTTGCAAAGCCATTTATCATCTCAGTCCATTGTTCTTATACGTGCTGTGAATCTAAAGCAGTTCTTATCGGAGCCTGTGAGTGGCGCTCTCCTGACCCATTCAGTTTGAGATTGTGTGAATCCCCGAGGGCAGAAGTCCTCTGACCAGGCAGCTGACACACTCCTGAACAACAGGCTGATTAACTAGAGAAGACTCCCAGAATGAACAAATGCACAGTCAGAAACAGACTAGCCATGTGTTGTCAACAGCACTGGGGGCTACATTCTTGACATCCCAACCGGGCACACATCCAGCTGTTAGACCAATGCTAACAGTTGCTCATACTCCTACAGTGAAATCAATTCTCCAGCTCCTTAGGTAAGACAGATTAGAAGGAAGAAGGGCAATGATAGCTTTTGGTAAACTCGAGCAGAGGACATGTGATTGAGATGAGCAGATTTTAGCCTCTATTGAACACTTACACAGTGTGTGTGTGTGTGTGTGTGTGTGTGTGTGTGTGATCTCTCAAAGCAGAGATTCTCACTTAATTGTGTCGGCACCTCTATCTGGCTGAGTGAAGATACAAACTGGCTACGCGGGGCTGGATCAATATCAGGCCCAGGCTCATGGTCAATGATGCATTGATCCCCTGGAGTTCCAGCTCGTAGCCCACTGGTTGTCTCATAGTGGGGGTATGTCGTAGCAGCACACAATGAACACATAAACACTTCTGCACCACCGCCTGTTAGGACTCAACTTGGGCTTTTCCCACAGGGTGCTTTGGAGGATGACACATTGCCATTGGGGCTTTCCACAAAAGTGAGTTATAACTCAATTCAAAACTAAATGCTCAAATAATTGCTGTGGCGACAACAGGGGGACTTTTCCTGCAATCTGACTTCTACCTTTTGCTTTATTCTTTCTTTTTATTTAGTGGGCTTTTCTACAAATTCCCACAGTCATAGCCAAAATCCTCTTATTACATGTGTGTCACGAGGAGTAAAATCAATATCAGTTGCTTACTTGACAAAAAGTTAGAAAAATCTAAATCAATAACCTCACCAACTCTATTTGTCCAGTGCGTAACCCTCAGGCAAGGAACAATTAAAATGTTGGTGATGTTCTTTCTGGAACTTTTAAAAAATACCGTTTACATCAAGGTTGTTGTCTTCGTCAAATCTTAATATAAAAATGACTTAGATCACAGATGGCCTCGGCACAAATAGACAATGGGAGATTTAAGGACAACCCTTTCAGCCTTAGAGGACTAAACACAGAAGGACACTTAGGAGTGTAAACATGTGCAGGGAGAACAAACTGTACAGGAACTCACAGCGGTGCTTTTACTTCACCAAATTCTGACCCAAAAAAAAGAAGGAGAAAAAAAGAAATCAAAGTTGTGACTTTCTTATGGCACAAATACACCGTTTTATAAAATGATTTTGGGGTTGCTTCTGGCATATTTTGGAATCTTTCCAGCTCTCCAATAAGGACACTGGTCTCCACGGCAACCCGGATATGGGGTGAGAGTGGCCTTTGTCTGCAGAGCTGTGTTTGGCATCTCCACTTAGCACTAGTTCCTGTTAGAAAACAAAGGGGAGCAGAGCCGAGCACTTTACAACAGGAGGACAGCTTGGCCAGCCATTTGTCTAATGAGCGATCACTCACACCCTGTTGCAAGGCCATATGTCAGTTGAATGCAGCTAGTTTCCCCGTAAGGAAGGCCTAGAAGCTGTTTTACCACTTACTGATGAGACAGTGTGTAGCACACACACTCACATCTGAACCTTCATCCACTCAACTAAAGTTCAAAGAAAGAAAACCAGCATAAGGAACAGAGTAACCTAATTTTTGGTACAGGCTGTGGTTTCAAGAGAAATGCAAAGATTAAAACAAAGCCTTGAGGATAAATCGTGTGAATGTTTGTGTTTTTGTAGGCGCCTCAGATGAAAGAGATACCCAGATATATTGGAAGCCCCATTGCAAATAACAACTTCATAGAAATAACTAAAAAGTGTGTTAATGTCTTTGCATGAACAGTGTAACAGAAAATAGTCTTGAAGCTTTTATTGTGCCTTTTGCTGCTACAGAAGCACCAAGCACTGTGTGTGGTTATTAATTTAAGTCTGTGACTATGAGACTCATCATCTTGAGCTCATGATTGCTTAAAGGACCATTTTGCTTTATTACCTTATTTTCAATTACATTTGACAAGACAATCTCATCACAAGGTCCACGTAGTTCAGGAGCTTTTAATCATGTCACATCTTTCTCAGCAGATGGATTCTCCACAGTTTTTAATGGATGTTAAAATTTCCATTTTCTTCTGATGGGATTGTTTTGTCAACTAATGTTTCTAAGGGAAAGAATGAACTTCAATCTCAACTTTTAATGCCCACCTAGATAATTCATTCCTAGCTTAGGAACAGCTACTAGATTGACTTTGTGGTGAGACTGTTTTGTCAGCTACAGTTTCCAAGGTCAAGAATTAACTTTCAATCGTAATAATCTGTACTGATTAGATGACATGGTATTACTTTTTTCAAGTGATTCCTGGGATCAGGAAGCATCATGACATCACCACAACTAGACAAACAACAAACTTCCCTGTGAGGAGTCAAAAAGCCAACAGTTTATCCCTATTATCTAAACCACTTCATTATTATGTATTAACCACATAGTAGCAATAGAAATGATGTCCAAAACTCACATTTTTAATAAACTAGAACTGTACTTTGTCACCTCTTAAAATAAAATTAGAAATTGCTCAAGAATCTGGCTATAATCTCACATGTCACTTGTAAATGTTACACACACATTTATTTGTCTGGTTGGCTGCTTTCATGGTTATGTGCTATGACTGATTACAGCTGATGTGTCTGGGTCTAAACTCCCCTTTAACCTTTCAATCTATACATGTCTGCTCCCGAGCCGTGCCTGGAATACTAATGTTACAAATGCCAATGCAAATCAGAGGCTAACAAAGACCAGTGCTGGCCTGCTGTGATGGTAAAGGGACAAAAGCACTTGTCTGCCTGTTCGCAGGACCAGCTTCACGCACCGGCTCTCGCCAGCACCGTGCCTCCTGTTGACGGTAACAATGGCTTCCTGCCTGTGCTGTCAGCATCTCACTGAAAAGAGTCTGTCAGCAAGCTCTTTCTGCTGTTTCTCTGACTGATTTAACATGTGTCTGTTGGAGTGGAATCACTGCTGGATTTGGTGGAAATCATTCATAGCAACACCCCCTCATTACAGAGGCTGAGGGAAAACTTAGAGCAGAAATTCAGGCAACATGTACTGAAGTAAAAAAAGGAAAGCTGTGGGTTTTCTTCAAGACCATGTGTGCTTGACTGATTTATTTATTTGACAAATCAAAAATGAATAAATACTAAGTCAAACACAGCGCAAATACATATTCATTAAAAATAGATTTTTAACACAAAAAAGTTAGAAAAAAAACTTTGTGGACCTTGATTATAGATTAAATAATATCATACCATGTGTATCTGCTTGTGCTTCTTCTTTGTTCAGGTGAAGCTGATGACTTCTCTCAGATTTCTCTCCTCTCCTGTTTTCATGGGCTGTTGGACAGAAGCACAAGGGAAGAAGCATAGGTCAAGACTGAGACAATGACATGAAAAAACAGAGGCACTGTCAAGAAGGCAGAAAATTGGCACATTTGTCTTCGTATGTGTAATTCATTTAAGCAAAATAGGACTGTGAGCTTGAAAAAGAGAAAATAAAATTCTAGGACACTTAAAATGACAGAGTTTGCATTTATAATGTATGAAGCACTCGCTTCCAGCAGTGGGCTAATTTAAGACTGCAAGAGTGTTTTATCTGTGTGAATATTTCACTTCTCAGCTGGAAGGGAAAATTAACAAGGAAAGAATAAAATAATGTATAGTCTTCAATAGTAGCAGTCCAGCCCTGTGTTCTGGGCAGGTAAAATTCTAATATCTGCCTTGAGGTATTAGTATCTACGTGCCTTCTCACTTGGTTAATTATCTGTTATTAGAAGACCCAACACACCACAGTCTCATACAGCTTCTGACATGACCTTGATGAGCATCTGAACTCATGCATTATTCAAAGAAAGAGGAATACCTTGCTTTTTTACCAGACGTTGCTGGCTTGAACTGTCAACGCACGATACGTCTCCAACCAAGTGTGTCTAATGACCATAAATGCTTTAAACTTTCTGTTTCTAAACTGCTTTGCTACAAGTGTCTCCCAGCTGAAAATAACGATATAGCAATGAGAGCCAATTAAACTGCTGGTATTCCAGCCTCGATGTGCAAAAATAGTCAGGAGCACAGTTTTGAGTGACAATACTTTGGAGCCGTTTTCAAAGCACTGGCACTGACAACTACAGCATCAAATATGGCGAGAGCTGCCTACGGAGGCATGAATAGTATGCAGCTCTTGCCACATTAGATGGTGAAATACAGGCAGGGTATTCTCTTTCTGACAGGGGCTGGGGATGGAGAATATCCCAAGAGTATTCTGGTTGATAGAGCCAGCCACATCATCCCACTGACACACCATATTGTCAGCAGACGTCCGTTTCACCAGGACGCAAAACCCAACTGACAGTGGCGGCAACACACCCTCCCCCATTCCAAATACAGGGCTCTGATTACATCTAGAAAAGGCAATCAAAGCCTGAGTGAAGACACGGACAAGTCTGAGAAGTAGGGAGATGCACTGGAATGATACACTCCCTTATCACAGAGCCTTGGATTCAGACACTACAAAGCACATGCTCAGGGAATCAATAACATCTCCACAGTGGCTACACAAGCATAGGAAGCCAAAGGATGGAGCACGTTTGAAGGAGTCATCTAGGAAATAGTCACCATATGGCTTAGCAAATATATCCCCAAGCAATACAACACTGTAATCCCATCCCATTTTGATTCAGTCTATTAGAACAGCAGCAGATAGGTACATAATCGCCATGCTCATGTCTGTAATCTGGTACGGAGAAGCAGAGTGGTCAAAATTTGTCCTGAAGCCTGTTGCAGAGGTACTCTCTCCTGAACCCCTGTTTAGAGAGCTATTAGCTGGTGAAGAGCAACAGTGGTGAGGGTCTGCATTATTTTTTGGTTTCCATGGAAACCCTTTCCCTGGAAAGTAGAGCACCAATAGGATCGCAGAGCCTCATTGAATCAGTTATGGGGGTGAGAAGAGAGATCAGCGCAGACGGCTGAGAAAGCACAACAATAGGACGAACCCTCGAGGGAGACTATAAAGGCCAGGCCACTGAGGGTCCAACAAAGCGGGGAACGACTCAACACTACAAAAAAGGTTTCATCTACATCCGCTCAATGGCTTTCCTTTAAAAAAAATGTCTCTCACCAACTAGTCATTGACATTTAAGCTCACGAGAACCGTGGGCAATTTAAACATCAAGGCAGCCACTAATTGATTAGCCTCTGCTGATATTTCAGGCTCTGACAATATTATTGCATCACCAACATCTATGCTGTCTGTAAGACAGTAGCACGTTAAAAACATGAACATCTACATACAGGTTGTATGGTGGTTATTCCCCCAATTCACTATGGAGATAGCAGAGGAAACTGTAGTGGCCATAAAGGTGTAAGAGGAATAAAGGGGTCCTCAGATTGTCAAACAGTGTCCAACCATGGTATTTGACAAGTACTGTACATCCACTTCACACAGCAGTTGGTGTGCAGAGTAGAGGTCTTTATAGTGGGGTTGAATGAGTACTCAGTTGTACAGTACATCCAGTATGAATAATGTACTCCAAGTATTTATAAAAGTACATCCTAATCATAGCATGACTAAGATCAGTAGCTTATGAAAAAGGTTTATGCTATTAAATTACTTTTATTAAATCAGTCACAGATATTAAATTTGTTAGAAAATTTGTATGTTCTGTTGCCCAGTTGGCTGCGGGATGTTCTGTTGTTGGTGCAGGAGGTGAAAATAGGACTCTAGGATGTTCAGGTCGACCGCATTTTTGATCTTAGTCGGTTGGGTCTGACTGTGCTTGAGTCCCCCTTGGACTGGGTCTCTCATTTTTAGAAATTAATTTATGCACATGGGATTTGAGTAGCTTTATGAACGGACCCCTGTAGACTTCTAGTGTAATGGTGAGAAAGCAGGAAGGATTTTTAACTACTCTCTCAAGCTCTCGTTGTTCACTCTTCAAACAACTACTTCTGTTACACTTTTCATGTGTACAGTGCAACACTATGAGGAGAGACAGTCAGAAAGTGTGCTCTGTGTTCCCGATTTAAAACCTGATCTGATTACACATTACACAAACTTGTTCATACCAAACATACAGCGACCTTTCCTATACAATACGAGCTATCGGCTAGGGACTCATCATATGTGTTTTCTCTTCGCCTCCATAAGTCACCTCATCCTGCCAATCAGGCAGGCAACCTTGACAGAGATGTTAGAGGTCAGAGAACAGCAAGAAGTTTGATCAGTGACACTTCCTCTGGGGACAGGAAATGGACAGGAAAACGAGGGAGGAAGTGACAATTCTTTCATCTACACCTTACAGCTGGGTCTGACCTCAATTTCTCACCAGTGTTGACAAAAGCAAACCTCTGAACTGTAGAGGCAACTCCAAATTTAGAGATAAAGACCTATGGGGCCTTTCACACCCTGAATCAAACCTTTAAACACCCTCAGTAAAAGTAAAAATCTACAGCTCTAGATGTCAGCTCTCCATGGTGATCTCCAAGCAAATTCTGAGCCCATATAAATCATGCGTATTATTAATAATATTATATAAATGAGAAAGAGGGCAATGGCCAGCAGCCATATTTCTCCTGAACGGCCATTTTAATGAGGACAATACTAAGGCAGAATTATCACCCACCCCCATCTGGATTTATTGATCCGACAGTGTGAGTCAACCACAAGAGATAAAGATTAACCACCACTATGAGAAACAAACCCCACTCTGATCAGAGGACATCACTCAATTAATCACTTCCTCTCGCCTCTCTGGCCACAGTTAACCACTGTTTTCTTTGTTCTCTGCACTACAGTGGGTGCTCTCATGTTTTCTCATGTTTTACGCATAGGGCAACAATGTATTCTCTAATTTGGAGTATACAATTATTCCAACTAATGATTCACCTCATTATACAGTATATTTTCTCAGTGTTAACTGTTTATGGTTAAATGGAAACCTGAGCAGAATGCAGTCCCTGGACTGTGTTTGAAGGGTGCTATTTTGATGCTGATGAAAGCTGACACTGTGTCCACCTCTTCGGCAAGTCAACGCCAAACATTAGCCAGGCCTCTTCTCTTTGTAGCAGGTTCTTCAAGCTGCAGCCCGTATCTTTCACCTCTACAAAGATGCCTTCATCAAAGAACATTGAGAAGCATCTCACACAGACCTTTTCAAACATCTGTAACCTGCTTCTATAATTACACATCGCCAACTTCTCTCCAGTAACACCATGATAAAGAACAGCAACTGTACTACTTGTTATTTTCTTTAACCGATGCCTGTCTAACTTAACTAGCTGCCTTGTACACCACCACACTTTCACCATACTTCCCAGGCCCTAAAGGCTAGCCCCCTGTCTCTGAGGAGCCAGGGGCCTGGGGGGCATCACAACACCGCTTTGAAGTCTAACGATTAAAGAGGAAAGACCTGTCGAATTGGGATGATGGGGCTAAGGTTGGAAGAGGGGGAGGATCACTACGAGGGACAGGAAAGGCTGTGAATACTGAGAGCTTGGGCCCCCATGGGATACAATTAAGAGCAAGGCTTTTTTAGTGAGGGTTACAAAAACACAGCAAGGATACCAGCAGCGCAGCCTTCCAAGCCAAGGTAAGAGTTCATTACTACATACACAGAAGGGGCTGGGGCTGTTAAAATCTTGCCAGTTTGTTCCCCCACCCATAGACCCTGCTAGCTGAGGAACAGCCGCATGATAACCATTTCCATCCCAGTTAAATCCTAAATCCCAGTAAAGCTTGAGAATCACGCATCTTACAGCTCACAGGGCACCCAAGGAATTGAGATGAAGATCGAGGCTGCCTGCACAAAGAGGAAGTTTGCATAGAGGCCTCCCTCAGGATGTTTTCCCTCAAACAAAACAAAAGACAACACACCAGATTAGTTTGACAATTACTAGAATAATCATTTGGTCTAGAAAATGTCTAGAAATGGTGAGACACAATTACAGCTACTATTATAACTAGTATATTTCATTTTTTGTATATGGCTAACCTGAAAGACTTTCAATTCATAGTATTTTGTACTAAAATATAGGTCAACAGGAACACACTGAATGTAGAAATATGTGGCCACTGTTGTCCTATAAGTAAAGCCAACCACTTAAACATGTGTTACGAACACATCTGGTAACCATTTCTAGGCCTCATTTATATTTTTCAAAAGTACCATAGAGCATTAGGTTTTGATTCTGTGGCAAAGACCACTTTAACAATACAACTGTCCCATGCCTTTAATATTACCAGTAACTGTGACTGTGACTGTCTGTCCTTAATATGCTCTCACCTTGATCCTTCTGCCTCATAAAGCAGTTTAGTGTGCTGACAAACAATGTGGTAAACA